TCGACTGCTCTATCCGTTAGCATTATTCTGTATCTATCTCTCTTCAGCTAGAGTGAGAACAAGCGAACAGAAAGTAATTTTGGAAAACAAACAATTTTGTTCTTTTATTCCACCCAAAATACAAGTTTACATACAAATAAATCGGTCGAATGTTCCCGGTTTAGCCAATCGGAACGAAAACTTCCCCAAAAACGTAAATTGCTGTCTAGTTATTAAGATACGCTTCCGATTCCAATATTTTTCTGAGGCCTGGTTGCGTAAAAGGTAAATTTGGTACAGAAAACTATTTTTAACATAAAAAAGTTTATGGACATTAAAAACGACTATCTCAGACATATGTATTCATGCATTTGTGAATTCAATGTCGCTAATGTACATATTTTTTGGTTCGTCGTCGCCATTTTTACTTGATTACTCTATATCTGTCCCACTCACACAGTCTTAAAGCTGGCGTCGCGAGTTTCAGTGTTGAAAAGCCCGTCACTGCAATAAATGTATAGAACAACATTTTACTAAAACTAGTTTTTCGCTCAAGTGGGCACGATGGAAGACCTTACCAAAAACATAATCTTTACAAATGCTATTAATGGACAACCGGCCACAATTCAGTACCAGACAACGGATGGCACCATCCTTAAACAACCGAAAATCGAGGGTCAAAAGGCAGAGCAGCAGCCTACATTTTATTATACGACAAATGTAAGAATTAACTTTATTGTGTATATTAGAGCTTACATTTTTATTATTTGTCCGTAGGGCAATGGCGGTACCGTCAATCTCGCTCAGCTGGCTACCACAGATGACAAGACCTGCTACATCGCCCAACCAGTGGGCGGTTACAACTACGCTCTAGTCAATGGGATGCCTATAAATCAGGGAACAGCACTGGGCATCGCTACGGTAGACTCTCAAGGCCGGATCCAGATCGTTAATCAGAATAAACCCATTGCAGCAGTGCGTGATAATAGTCTATAACTTAAGCGAGCTAATACGGTTCCCTGTTGCAGAATACCATATCCAATATCAGCTTCAAGTGTGATATCTGCTCGGATATGTTTCCTCACCTGGCACTGCTCAATGCACATAAGCGGATACATACAGATGGGGAGCAGCAACAACAGCAGCAGCACAACACCCAGCAGGCTGGTAGTGATGGAATAGCCGTAGTGAACGCTCAGGGTCTAGTGCAAGCGCAGAACATCATTGGTAATGGCCAGATGGGCCACATTCAGATAGTGTCTTCCGACACACTTGAGTCTGTGCAGCAGTCGGTCATGCAGCAGCAGCAGCAACCCGAGCCCAAGGCAAGCAAGTGCATGAATTGCGGCAGTACTATACTGCAGCAGTCCAAACGTAAAGGTCCAAAGCAAGTACGCTGCGAATCCTGCATGCAGGCCGAACAATCATCGCAGCAACAGCAGCTTTTTGTAGCACAAGACGGTAAATGTGGATTGTAATATTCTTAAGTAAAAAATAACGAATTTTATGTTTATAGGTCAAATGGGACACCCTGTGCAGATAATATCTACCACCCCCCAGGCCCAGGCACAGCTGCAGCAAATTGTGGCTGCGCAGACTGGCGGTACGACACCGAAGAGGGAGCCAAGTGGTGGAACTAGCCATCATCCAGTTAAAAAACGAAATTCTCAGCAAATGACAAAGTGCCAGAAGTGCAATGGCTCCGGTGTGGTTCTAGTGGGGCAGCACTCCCATGCTGGACACAGTGGAGCGGGGGCATCGGTAAAGCAATCGGTTACTGTTAAAACTGAGTGAGTATAGGATCTTAGTGCAATCCAATCTTACGCTAACAAAACTAAGATGTTTGTCCTGTAGGAATCCGTCGAAGCCATTCAGTTGCAATATATGTGGCGGACTATTTTCACGTTACTCAAGTCTGTGGTCACATAAAAAACTGCACAGTGGCGAAAAAAACTACAAGTGCAGCATCTGCGGTTTGGCGTTTGCCAAAGCCGTATATTTGAAAAACCACGCGCGTATCCACACAGGGGAAAAACCATATAAGTAATAGATCCTTTTGTTTTTATTTATTTTTTATTTATAGTAAAAACTATTCTTTACTTAGATGCCAAACATGCGGTATGCAGTTCTCGCAGTCGCCACATCTGAAAAATCATGAACGCACGCATAGTGGAGAAAGGCCCTACGTGTGCGGAGTTTGCGACAAAGGATTTGCGCGCCATGCCACTCTTTGGAACCATCGGCGCATCCATACAGGCGAAAAACCCTACAAATGTGAAATTTGCGGATCTGCATTTTCTCAAGCAGCGCATCTTAAGAATCATGCAAAGGTGCATTCTGGAGAGAAGCCCTACAAGTGCGAAATTTGTTCGGCGGCGTTTGCAGATCGTTTTGCACTTAAACGCCACCGTGGCATACACCAAAAGTACGGACAAACTGCACCTCGTCAGACCAGTAGCGAAGGAATGATAGTGCATAAGCAGGAGATTCCCGACATGGAAGATGAAGCTCAGCAGGAGGTAATAATCGGCGGGTTATAGATAATACCATTGAATTCAATTGCGAAGGCCAGTGGCACCTTCATGGTTTCGGCTGAGCAGGTGCTGTCTTCAAACTGTAAGACTAGTGTGTACCATGATCAACAGATTCCCTATGACTTTCATTATCGGTTGCCTCCACCACTACCGCCAATACTAGCCCCTGAACCAATATGTAGGGGAGATGTCTTTTTTCAGAGATGTTAGCACTAAAAACTGCATTGAATTTGTTTTACTTCAGATAACGTGCAGGCACATTGGGCCCAAACACGCTTTTTACGTTAAACAGACGAATTAATCTAAATTATTTGATTGTTTGTAAAACGAAATCTAAACATACCTAAAACAGAAAAACGCATAGTTTTCTAAGTGTTATAGACTATTTACTTATAAAAATTTCACAAGAGGGAAGCAGACGAGGCGAGCAAACCCTAATCGTAAGAATCTGCACAGAAAAAAGCTCATGTATATATATCATATACTCGTATATTTATATTTATGTATATAATGATAGTCATAAGCGAAAATATTTTTAATTCGACTTATGTAAGTATTGAATGATTCGTAAATAAAATAATTTTTACTAACCTATGCCACTGCAAGTGCTTGGACTTAATTTTGATATTTTCGATTCAATAAATTCTTTCCACATAATTTATTCGTACACCCATGAGTTTCAAGCTTATTCTTAAATTAGTCGAGTTCAAGAAAGAATCGCGGATTACCGTTGCATTCAGAAATAGAAGTCAAGAATGAGAAGTGTTTGATTTCAATTTAAAAATATTTTATCTAACAAAGACTGAAGAGGGCTCGAGTTATTTATAAATTACGATTTAGGATTATTTATTATTAAATAAAATGATCTAGGCAATATAATATTAGCAATATAATTACATTTTAATGGAAAACAACGGTACCAAAACCAATGGAAGTTGATCTCCACAATCCTAGCAGTCGACAAACTCCTATAGGAGATATAGGGAAAATGTGCCACAAGAAGTGAATATTACCAATCAGGACCAAAAATGCAACGTGGGTTCGAAGGACAAGCCATTATAAAGTAACTAGAGGACGATTTTTTCCAAACCAAGATATATTACAATATTTTAAAGTGTGAGGAAAACGAATTAGACTGGAATTAGACTGAACAAGGCCATATGCACAGAGCATTTACAAAAACAAATGAGCAGTCAGAGCTCAGGCTTTGGGCACTCCTGGTGTAAATGCTCAAATTTACTTTAGCAACAGTAGGGACATAGTTCGGGGTAGGAAGTTTTTACATTAATACAAAGATGTAAATTGTAATACCTTGAGTTTCGATGATTTCCCTTTGCGATAATAATTTAATTTTGTGATTACTAATATTAGTACAGTTTATAAGACCTAAGTCCTGAGCAGTGACGTCAACGTCAGTTATTAAACATCCCTTTTCTGATAAAAATGTTGTATTAAAAATTGGATAAGACAGTAACGGAATAAGACAGTACTATAAATTGTCCCGTCATTGTCGGTATTTATTTCCCCTAGAATTTTTTTTTTTTAACAATGTCAATTATTGGGATTTCCAAAACGTCTATTAAATTTGTGTTCATGATGTTTATGTTATTAAACGACTTTTGATTTAGCCTCGCTTGTGATCTGTTGTGTTTACTTTCACTCTTGGACTCCTATGTAATATTCTGTAATTTAAAGAACCAGTGTCTATTATTTAACCAAGTGTAGTCTCGCTATCTTGAATGTGCTTCTGTTCATACATATATTTCGGTGAATGGTGCCTGTTACATCTGCAGTTTTAAAATAACTTTTCTGAAATAGTCTTTATTTTTGGTCGTCACACTCTCTAATACAGGGTGTCTTTTTTAAGAGGTATAAAACTTTATGTGGCCATTACTGTTCAAGATGGCGACCGATTTAACAGCTGTCAAGTGATTTAATGAGGTAGTCGGGAACTGCGGGACCTGCACCAAGGCAAAGTACAACAGACACCCCAAGAAGCAAAAGCTGGGCGTCACACCAATTCCGTCGAATGCGGGGGAAATGCTGCATATGGACATTTACGCTACTGATAAAAAGTTATTCTTAACCTGCGTTGATAAATTTTCAAAAATCAGCCATTACCCTCTAGGGCCATTGTGGATGAGCGCAGCCCATTACAGCTGGTCAATTTTTTCCTGATATCAAAACCATCTACTGTGACAATGAGGTGTCATTTAATTCGAAAACCATAACATCGTTGCTAAATTATTAATATGGTGTAGATATTGTTAACGCACCCCCTCTACACAGCAGATAGAACGGTTTCACAGTCCCTGTCAGAGATGGCTAGGTTCATCGAAATTGACAAATTGATTGAGGTTATCATGAGAGCCACGGTAGAGTAAAATAAAACAATACACTCAGTCACCAATTTGCGTCCGAGATATGCCCTGCTCTCAGCTAATGACGGTCAACAATTTGCAGTGGTGTACAGTCTCGAAAGGGCGCAAAAGGCCAGTCTAGAAAGGTGCAATCCGACTAGACAGAACCGAATTTTCGAGGTAGGAGAAAAGATATACCATAAAAGCAACATGAGGTTGGCGAATAAACTAACCGCACTGTACACGAAGGAGCGCGTACAAGCAGATATGGGAACGACTGTTCTTATTAGGGGGAGGGAGACTTAAAGACAATCTTAGGTAGGATTTCTGCCGATTTTCCAACCTTCCTTCTTTGTCCAACATAAAGCAAAAGATAACTAGGTTGTTGCTCCTTCACGTTCATGTAAAGATCTTTTGGCAAGAATTTAGCATGATCAATAGCCGAGGTTCAAACGCTCACGACCACACTTGCTAGGCCTAACATTATGAATTCAGCCACTTTTAATTATTAATATTTGAAGTCCGGATTAATCGATCACCCCACAATGTCGGTACGATAGGATTCCCATGTGTTCCTGCCCTAAGTTAATAACCACAAGTAAAACCACTAACATTCTCCCCGTGTTGCATCCACATACCACGCCGCAACACTGGACATTATGACATCCAAATGAAACAGCGATGGCTTAGCGGTCACAGACTTCGTATCAACTACGTACTTGTCGCTGTTCAGCGTGGAACCCACGGTACCTGCGCCCGAAAGTTTATGCGCGGAAGGTGCAGCTGCCAGCACCACGCATCTGCTCCTAGCCTGTATAAATGGCACCAGACGTTCGAGCTAGCCCTCCCGTTGCCAATGGACTAAAGATGACCGAGGATGGTCATGGTTCTAAACGGGGAGTAGTTAACGGGTAACAGTAGGTCATACCTTTCCCTGGTGGTTATTGGGTCACTCTAGAATGGAGCTAAGACTTCGGGTACTTGCGTTCATACAATCTGGGCTCTCCGTGGGTACGCAGTCGGCCCTCCGACATGCAGAAGAGTTAAAGTTTTGTCTCCAGGCCCCGACACAGGCAAATAAATTGATGTAACGGGCCGCATGGCCGAAGATTGGCGTGGCTGCACTTCTGGTTCGAAGATAATGCTTAGATTGCTTTGGCTCTTAGTTTTAGTCTTCTTTTGAAACCCAATAAAGAGCAGTCGCTCAAGGAAAGTTATTTCGGCGGAAGCCCTTAAGGGGCACTAACAACGAAGGTGATGCAGGCCCCGCCGGCCCCGAAACATAACTCGCCGGCCTGGTTACATAACCCGCCGCGATATAGACGGCAGTGTGGGACTCCCGTTATGTCTTAACCTAATTTATATATTATCGTATATTTATATTTATGTATATAATGTTAATCATAAGAGAAAATATTTTTAATTCGACTTATGTAAGTATTGAATGATTACAAAATAAAATAATTTGTTACTCGTAGAGTGAAAGTATCAATAGCGAAGTTGATTATGCCATGTCCGTCTGTCTGTCCGTCTATAAAAGATACAAAGTTGAGATTAACCACGAAGATTCTTGAGGTCCCTACGCAGCGCACGTTTATTACAGCATCCTACCACGCCCACTCTAACGCCCACAAATCACGAAAAACTAAAATCGCTGAAATCTCGGGAACTATTAGAACTAGAAAGTTGAAATTCAGTATGTATAATCTTTACATGCCAGCGCATCTTATAGTGGTACTCTTATCCGGCCACACCCACCCATACGCCCACCAAGCTTAAAAGACGGTTTTCGCATTTTCTAGAAAACCTGTTATCTCGGTAACTATAAGTGATAGAAAGTTCGGATTTGTTCGGATTAGTTTTTAAGACTATGCACTTATCCAAATCAGCCGTCTGATAGAACTGTCCGTTGTCTGCAGTCCATAGCGCTTCCGTCTATTCTGGCCGTCGCTGCCCGCCTTTCCTGGGGAACATTAAAGTTAGCATTAACTTTGAAAACCTCATGAAAACCTCACCTGTTGAAAAACTAATGAGTGAAAGTGCATGCCGTCGCATTGGCACGAGAATCCTATCCATAAACGGATTTTATTTGCAGCAAAACCCCATCTGAGTAAACGAAGTCATGGCCAAATTTGTAAACAATAATATTATTAACCGGTTTTGGTGCGGGCATCGAAACTTTACAGGAAAATCAGGATCAACCGGTACCAAAACCAATGGGAGTTGATCTCCACAATCCTAGCAGTCAACAAACTCCTATAGGAGATATAGGGAAAATGTGCCACAAGAAGTGAATATTACCAATCAGGACCAAAAATGCAACGTGGGTTCGAAGGACAAGCCATTATAAAGGAACTAGAGGACGATTTTTTCCAAACCAAGATTGTAATATTTTAAAGGGTGAGGAAAACGAATTAGACTGGAATTAGACTGAACAAGGCCATATGCACAGGGCATTTACAAAAACAAATGAGCAGTCAGAATTTACTGACTTACTCAAATTTACTTTAGCAACAGTAGGGATATAATAGGGGTTATTTGATCTTGATCCTTGCTAATTTTAGCAATCTCAGTGGACCTAAGGTGCTGCGCGAGTGTTTAAGCTTGGTGTTTTTGGGTCCAATTTTCTGCGGTATTTGTAATTGGGGTGATTATTTCGCTTTGCCACAGGGGAAATCTGGTGCTAGCCGGCGATACCTTTTCTATGTACTCGCGCTATGTATTCTCAGCATTTTGTTTTACCCTGGAATTGGCACGCTGACTGGGCGGCCACTTGGAAACTACACATCAAGCAACTAAGTTGCAGCCCAAACATTGTCCGAATTTGGGCAAAAGCCACTTGAGTCGTTGCCCCGTTAACTGACATTGCAACAGGATGCCCCGACCACTACGATGCCGAAAATATGACACAAGCAGAACATTTGGACTGGTTTGACATTTGATTACGAACCACTATGGACTTTAGGATCTTCGCAACTTTGTAAGAAAGACACACACATATAACCAAAAGTGAAGTTTGCCGTAAAAAAAGATTACAAATGTGAAAGATATGTATGGAGACAAGCAAAGAAATTATTTTTTTGTAAAAAGAAAAGAAGCTATAAGAAAGAAAATATATTGTAAAAAATATAAAGTAAAGAAGATGAGTGCATTTAAAGATACAAAGATACAAATTTAAAAAACACGAAAGTCAAAAAATCAATAAAAAAAGAGTGCAAAAGTAAAAAATGAAAA